TAAAATGCTGGTTAGGCTACAACTGGAGTACTGCATGCAGTTCTCATCATCATTTGTTAGGGAGGATGTGATTACATGACAGAGGATATGAAGGAGATTAACCCGAATGCTCGTGGGCTGGAGGATGAGTTATGAGGAAAAATTGGACAGGCTGTGGTTGTTTACCTTGCAGGATTGAAGGCTGAAAGAGAGGAGCCATAAGAAGGCGTGTAAGATTACGAGGGGAATAGATAGGTTGTGCAGAAAGCACACACTACAGTAGTAGAGGGGTCAGCATGGGGTGGGGGAGTATTTATTTAAACGCAAGAGTTGAAAAGTGAAGTAGGGTGTTGAGGAGAAATTGTTTTCACCAAGCAGGTGGTGGAACTCTGGAAATCACTACCTGAAAGAGTAATCGAGTCAGAAACTCTGGGAACATTTAGGCAATATTTTGATATTTGTTTGCACTGCCAGGACCTCCAGGGCTCTTGGACAAGAGCTGGAAGATGGGATTAGTGTAGTCAGACCGTTGTGAATTGGTGCGGATATTGCTAGCCACCTGGCATCCTCGTGCTGTAAACATCGAGTAAATGATTTCCACCAGACATTTTTAAACAGAATCCAAATTGGCATTTTGCAGTGAAAGGATTCAGCTCCACAAATTTACGACTGCCGCCTGGGATCCAAAAGAACAAGCATGCGTGTGAAACAAACACAGAATGCTGGAGAAACTGAACAGGTCTGCCAGCACCTGTGGAGAGAGAAACAGATTTGACATTGAGTTTGATAGGACTCTTCGATTTTGTTCGTTTCAAGATTTCCAGCAACTGCAGTATTTGGCCCTTAAGTTTGCATCCGACTCTTTACGTATTGGGATATTCTTACAGACAGCAGTTCACCAACAGTTCAGGTAAATTTTTAAGCCACAGGTGTCCACACATTTGTTCTTGAAGCCAAGAAAGTCTGTCAAGGCAAGGAGTGCTAAGGTGGGGGTGAGGTGTCAAAATGTATACAAAATAAAAAAATTTGCAATTAAAAATAAAATTTCTAAATTTCTTAAACAACACCAAACTTTTGGGGCATGCGAGTAGGATAGTTTGGGAATGATAGTCTGAGAATACAACAAATTGCAAAAAGAAATAAGTTTGCAAAATATGCATATGTATTGAAATTCATTTGCCAATATGCATGATGAATTACACATTTTAGTTAGAGAACTAAGGTGGTCACACTACTTGAAAAATAGAAATGTAAAGGAGTAAAATGTTCTGGGTATACAAACGTATCAGCAAATATAGGTTTAAAAGGCTGTTGAATGACAAAGCCACTCAGATTTGTTTCCAGAAGGATAGAAATAAAAAAAGGAGAGAAAAGTGGTGCTAATCTTGGATTGAACCGTGGTTTAACCACAGAGTTCTCTCATTGTAATGAGAGAACTGTGATAGGACCAATGGGTCTAAATGACAATGTCATTGTAATAACTGATGGTGTGGCATCACGTGTCTGCAATGTTATAATGGATTGGATGGGACAGGACATGATGATTTTAATAGAATGAATCAAGCATGACAGCATTCTATGTTCATGCTGCTCCTCAATTTGCAGTACATACGCCTCTGAATTTTACCTACATGCAATTACTCAGTCGTTACTTGCTTATTTTCTACCAACAGATTCACATACTCAAAAGTTGGCCCCAGATCCTATCTTTTTATCTCACCCCCCACCTCCACTGACTTGTCCAGTCTGATTGTACAGTAGCTAGAAGTTACATTGGAGCAATATCTATGGTTTTTGTTTGTTACCTGTAGAAGTCCATGCCCCTATTCCCCGCAGATAATGAGCATTTGGTGTAAAACTGAGAGTGAGGCTACACTTTTGAACAGAAATGAGATTTCAACATTTCAGTTTTCTATCCTTCCCAAAATCCTTGAAACGATCTGTACCAAAAATCAGGGAGGATATTAATCGACCAAACCTCCTTTAGTGTCTCTTCTCTGCTCTCTGTTACAGTTTGACTGTCCTTTCTTACTTCCACGCTTACTTGCATTATTTCCTAGTCATGGCCAGATTACCGACAGCAACCTGCTCTCTTGGCCTGATAGTTACCTGCATGTTTCCCTAAGGTTAGACCTGTAGAACCAGGGAAGATGGTGGTGTAGGGTGCAGTACAATGTCACTGGATTAGTAATCTAAAATCCCAGGCTAATGTTCTGGGGACATGAGTTTGAATCCCACTGTGGCAGATTGTGAAATGGGAATTCATTCTAAGTCTAGAATTAAAAAACTATTCTAAATGACACAAGTAATCACTGTTGATTGTCATAAAACTCATCTCTAAAGCACATCAACGAACCAGAATAAAAACTGCCTTCTTTACCTGCCCTGCATGTGACTCCCAAACCTTAATATGATTGATTCTTAGATTTCCTGTGGGCAATAGATGCTGACCTAAGCAGTGACATCCACATCATGCAAATTAATTTGAAAAATCCACAGAGGCCGTTCAGCCCATTTACCAACACCTGATATGTAGCCTTGCTAGTTACAGCACTTCAGGAACAGATCCAGGCTCCTTCCCAATGAGTAGAGGGTTTCTGCTTCAACCCCCAAAGTGGACAGTGGATTTTAAATACCCCCATCCATCACTGAGTGAAAAAGTACTTTAAGTCCCATCTAATCCTTGTATCAATCTCCTTAAATCTGTGCCCCTGGTATTTGAACTTTCCACCAGGGAAGCGGGTCTTCTGACCACTCTATCCAAGCCTCTCGATATTTTTTTCAATACAAATAAGTCAAACCTCAGCCACTACTGTTCTAAGGAAAACAAACAAACAAAGTCATTGCCCATCAATCCCTCCTCATATCCACAAGTTCCGCAATATTCTCATATGTCTCCTCTGTACTGTGTCTGGAACGATCATCTCCTTTTTCTAGTGTGCTGACGAGATCCATACACAAAAATACCAGATGCAACCTAATCAGTGTCTTCCATATATCAGCATTATATCCCAGCTTTATTATTCACTACCACACCCAATGAAGAAAAGCATTCCATGTGCCTTCTTCACCACCTTACCAATCTGTCTGGCCACACTCCGGGAATGTGGACATACACTCCATCTACCCCTTTCAATAACTACCCCCCCACCCCCATTTACTGTACACCCCCCTGCTTTTGCCCTCCCCGAATAGAAATTACTACAATTCTGTGGGTTGAATGCCATTTGCCACTTTTCCACCCACTCAACCAAACCATTGATATCTTCCTGCAGTCAACAGCCATCCCTGCATTACCAACTATACTGAATTTTTGTAGTTCCTACAAATATTCCAATCATACCTCAAACATTTCAGTCTAAATCATTAATACATCACAAACACCAAAGGGATTATAGCTATAAAATTCACTGTGATGTTCTGGCTTGTAAGCATCAGCATTGACCAGTTAATTCCTTTCATTTGTCGTGAAGCTGAAGATACATGGGCGAACCTAGTAAAACCAGTCCACACACTGCTATTTGAAGTGGCTTGAATTGCTCATGGAGTCACCCCAAATTTGTCATAATCTCAACTGATTAGGAGATAACCAATTAATTTAACTCCAACTCCAATATGTCAGGAACCCAAAAAAAAAAGCTTGTAAGTATCAACAAGAATGGATGTTAAAAAATAGCAAACAGTGCCTAAATATTTTCATGTGGATAAACTGTGCACCAGAATATTCTAGGACATGAGACATTAAAGTGTATGGTAATAGTTTGAACACACTTTGGCATTTGTTGCTTAAGATTCTGGGAACTTGTTCCCTGGGCTGACAACTCTGGCTGTGTTTGGGGGTGGACATGGTGAGGGAAAAAGGACTGATTTCTAATTTGCACCTGGGTTGTAAGTTTCACATAGCAGAAATGGACAATAAATCAATGGCAATTATCAAGCTGGGAAACAAGAAGTTCAGACATCGAAATGTACAAACCACATTGTACTTCAAGGAGCTGATTTTGACAGAGATGGATTTGTGACTGCAGAACTGGAAAAAGCTTTCCCTCCCTCCATCTCTTGAAGAACAAAGCACCCAGTGATAAAATATGTTGGACAGAAACATCCAGGTACTCAGAATTATTAAAGCTCTGCAGTATTTGCTGACAACACAACACATCAATTAAAAGAAATCTGGTCTCAAGTTAAAGTCCTTCAGGTGTACTTGAGACAAAAGATTTTAAATAGTATGGCGTGGAGCTGGAGGAACACAGCAGGCCAGGCAGCAAAGGAGCAAGAAAGTTAAAATTTCAGGTCGGGACCCTTTTTCTGAAGAAGGGTCCCAACCTGAAACGTCAACTTTCCTGCTCCTGATGCTGCCTGGCCTGCTGCGTTCCTCCAGCTCCACACTGTTATCTTTGACTCCAGTATCAGCAGTTTTTACTATATTCCTTTCAACTTCCTGTTACATGGGCAAACACCTTTTTGCTTTGTATCTATGTTTGATGTGCATCTTTATTGTTTTTTTTGGGATTAACCGATAATAAAAATTGTTCTTTCACTCAAGAAAACCTTATTATACAACAGACATTGGGTAACATGTCCTATAGAAATAGTATATTTTTGAAAGAGATAAAAATAACCTTTTGCAGCCAACCTAGTGAGTCGAAAAGAGGGGGACTCATTTACTCTCTCTCAGAATCATAGAAATCACTACAGTTTAAAAAGTTTGAGAAGCATGTCTACAAGCTAGTCCCTACGCAATGTCAAATCGGGCCAATCAGGTCCATACCGACGCTCTGAAGAGAATCCTTCGGTGAGGTATGTTAAAAGGTCCTATTGGCTATTAAGTTTGTGAAATAAGCACGGAGGTCAGACAATCTTTGGAAACAGAGACCAGGAATCAAACCTACTGGATCATCTGTTGCTTTCTCTACATAATCTGAAATAGATAGAACACATTTCATATTGACCTGGGGTTGGAGGGTGGGGTGGTGGTGGGGGGAGTGGAGAGGGAGGAGGAAGAAACACAAAGCATCATCGTAGATATCAAAACTTTTATTTTCATCCACTTCTTGCCACCATGCCCATACTATATTAATGAAAGCTTTACCGAGCTGTTAAAAATTTAGATTAGCAAACACCAAATTCCAGGACTTCAAAACACACCCGAGATCTCAGGATTTTCCACTCTGGGAACCCTGTAATTACTCAACGAACTGCAAAAGTCCTACTTTCCCAAACTGAAGAAGTAGTTCTCTAAACAAAAAGAACTTTGGCACTTCATGGCATAAAATGATTGCATAATATTTTTAAATAAAATGTATTGATCTCTGATGCTACCTTTTCTTCTTAAAAGCAAATTTTAAAAGATAAAAGATATGTAGTAAAACGATTCATTATTACTTTGGCCATGGAATGCACTGAAGCCTATACCTGGAATGGAGACCGGTGGGCTATGTAGCCTTAACCAAAAATTAAAATACACAGAAAATGCTTCAGCTACATATGTCTGTCTGTCATCAGTAAAGCAGAAAAAAAAAACAGAACAAAAAAGTGAATGTTTTTGGTCTTGGAGCCTTCAGCAGAAAGCTTAAAATCAGCAAATCTTTCCCACAAACTGTGTTGAAACATTGAGAAGTAGCAGTTTTGGGCTAAATCACAGTGTATATATACAGCATGGAGAGAAAATAACAATATAATTTTGTGGAATGTAACAAAGGATAGTGATTGTCAATCTCTGTGAAAGGTGAGAGCTTTAGATTTCATTCAAAAATTTAACACCACCCAATAAGCATTGATTCCCAAAATGCCTTGAAGCAACTTTTAAAAAGAAACCCAGCACAGTCAATGTCCAACCACAATATCGGTGACCAATATTCTAAGTGAGCAAGATAACAGGATGATGGTCGTATAATGCAGCAGGTCAGCATCTTCTGTATTTATATATGAATGCATTTCATTGTGTACCTTGCTAAATTATTGGATTACCACTTCAGGGAAAGCAATATATGCAATTCTCTCCTCCCCAAGCAGTCTTGGAAAATAGAAATACAAACTTAGTTCTGCCAGCAGCATATTTCAACCTGGAAATATCTGAAAGGCCAATCACTTGCATGTGGTGACATTTGTCTTTGTAATTCATTTTTTTTTTTTTTTTTTTTTTTGTTTTACACCCTCTTCATTCCTCTGCCCATCAGACAGGCGAAAACAGTCATAACCATCTTAGACTTCACTTCAACCAGGTCCTCTGGAAGGGCGTATACACGAGCTCCAATTTTTCTGGCCATTGATACAGCATATCTGTTGAGAAAGGTAACATGTCACTCCACTGCTCAGTTTTCATCTGCAACACTCATCACACAGCTCTTATCCATTTGCCAACTAATGGAAAATGACAGTGCATAGTTTCCATTTCATCCAGTTTACACAGACCCTGCAAATTTCAATTTCCAGCTAAAATCTAATTTACCATCAAATACATCTACAGTAAACTTTCCACAAAGTTATGGGACTAAGTAACAATAAAGTTCAGGCAATACATGACTATAAAGGTACAGGACCAGAATTAGGCCGTTCAGCCTAGAGTCTGCTCTACTATTCAATTGTGGCTGATGTGTTTCTCAACCACATTCTCCTGTCTTCTCCCTGTAACCCACTATCCCCTTATTAATCAGAAACCAATCTCGGTCTTAAATACATTCAATGACTTGGCCTCCACAGCCTTCTGCAGCAATGAGTTCCACTGAGTCACCGCCCTCTGGCTGAAGAAATTCCTCCTCACCTCAGTTCTAAAAAGTCGATCCTTTCACAGACTGTGCCCTCAAGGTCCTAGTCTTTCCTATTAGTGGAAACATCCCCGTGTTCACTCTATCCAGGCCTCTCAATATTCTATAAAAGTTTCAAACAGATTCCCCAACATCCTTCTAAACTCCATCGAGTACAGACCTAGAGTCCCCAATTGCTCCTCATGTGACAAGCCCTTCATCCCCAGGATCATTCTTTTAAACCTGCTCTGGACCCTCTCCAATGCCAGCACATTCTTCATTAAATATGGGGCCCAAAACAGCTCTCAAAATTCCAAATATGGTCTGACCAGAGCCTTATACAGCCTCAGCAGCACGTCCCTGCTTTTGTATTCTAGCCCTCTTGAAATGAACGCCAACATTGCATTGCAATGCATTCCTATCTTTGTGTCATCTGCAAACTTACCAACAGTGTCCTCAGTTCCTTTGTGCAGTGTTTAGGTATAATGTGAATGGTTGTCCAACACTGGTTCCCAACACTGACCCCCTGCGGAACTCCAGCTGCCATCCTGAAAACCACCCTCAGTCCCTACTCAGGCCTTCTGCCAGTCAGCCAATCCTCTATCACTTGGCCAGTACCTTGCCCCTAACACCATAGCCTTTTATTTTGCAGCACCTTGTCAAAAGCCTTTTGGAAATCCAAACAGATCATGTTCTCTGGCCCTCCTCTGTCTAACTTGTTTTGTTACCTCCTCAAAGAATTCTCAGATATATCATGCATGACCTTCCCTTGACAAAGCTATGCTGATTCAGCCATTTAGTTTCACATACACTTGAGTCTTCTGTAATCTCATCCTTCATAATGGACTCCAAAATCTTCTCCATGACAGAGGGCAAGCTAACAGGCCTATAGCTTCCGGTCTTCTGCCTCTGTCCCTTCTGAAACTGGGGTGTTACAGCAGCCACTTTCCAATTCTCTGGGACCCTTTGTCATTCCTGAAAGATCACCACCAATGCCTCCACATTCTCCTCAGCCATCTCCTTCAGCATCCTGAAGTGTAATCCATCTGGTCCGGGTGACTTATCCACAGTCAGACCTTACAGTTTCCCCAGCATCTTCTCCTTATTGATGGTCAGCGTACTCACCTGACCCGAACCTTGAAGTTCTGGTATGCTACTGGTGTCTGCCACCGAGAAGACTGATGCAAAGTTGACATTTAATTGCTCTGCCATTTCTGTTTCCAGTTATTATTCTCCAGCCTTACTTTCCAACAGTCCAGTCTTTTCTCTCACTTACCTTTTATATATTAAAAGTGAATTCTTGCAATCTTCTTTCACATTTTTGGCCAGCTTACCCTCATATCATTTTCTCCCCACTTAAATGCTTTTTTTGTTAAAAAGAAAAAGATATCCTCTGCTGGTTTTTAAAAGGCCTCCCAATCCTCTGGTTTCCCACTAATCTTCCCCACATTGTATGCTTTTTCTTTTGCTTGTGCTGTCCTGGACTTCCTGAGCCCTGTCTCATCCACCCCTTAGCATTTTCTTTTTCCTTGGGATGAATTTCTGCTGTGCCTCCTGAATTGTCCCCAGGAATTCCTCCCATTGCTGCTCCATGGTTTTCCTTGTTAGGTTCCCTGAAATAACTTCAACTAAGGCTGGTATCCCACCACCAAGTGACCCTTCATTTACAGGGGCATAGTAAGTGACACTCAACCAGCTAGCTCAAGGCAGCTCTCAGAGTGAGCAGAACCCCTAATACTCCTGGTCTTATTTGTCAGCCAGGGTCCCTGTTTGGACCAGATCAACCATCCCAATCAGGGAACTCACTGAGATTCAACTGGCTAACTTCATTCCAATCAACTCTGGCCAACTCCTTCCTCATTTCTCTGTACTTGTCTTCATTCAGTTGTAAAACCCTTGCATCTTATTCCAGCTTTCGCCTCTCAAACAGCAGGGTGAATTCTACCATTTTATGGTCACTGCCCCTACGGATTCCTTCACCTTAAGCTCCCTAATCATGGCTGTTTCATTACACATCAAATCCAGAATTGCCTGTTCCGTGGTGGGCTCTACCGCAAGCTGCTCCCAAAAAAAAGTCGTAGAAGTTTGATGAATTCTCTTTCTTGGCCTATCCCTCAGTCCTTTCGATAGAATCCTTGTATGTTTAGTTCCCAGCCCCGATCCCCAACTCCCACATCTCTGGGATAGCCAGAGCAACACACCACCAATTTCAACCTGCACTGCAACATTGTTCTGCATATTGCATGTATTTAAGAACAACACCCACACAGACCTACGTTGACTGTTCCCCTTCTCATAACTGTCCTCTCATCTGCTGTGCCTCAAACCAGTTTCCTGAACTTTTCCATTCTGTCCCATTACTGGTTCTGGAAAGTTTAATAACCTCTGCTCAACCCTCTTTCTCTTCCCCCCTTTCCAAAAAAAAAAAAAAAACCTTTATCCACAATATTGCGTGCAACAGAACCCACCATCCCACAATTTAGTTTATAGCCATATCCTCAGCCCTAGTTATGTGATTTGACAGGACTCTGGTCCCAGCATGATTCAGGTGGAGCCCATCCCCTCGGAACAGCTTCCCCTTTCCCCAATACTAATATTAATGTCCCATGAATTCAAACCCATTTCTCCCCACACCCATCTGAATTACATACGTTTACCTTTAATCTTGTTCACCCTGTGTCACTTAGCTCATTATTCAGGTAGTGACCCAGAAATTACTATCTTTTTCACTTATGCTTTATAATTTAGCAACTAGCTGCTCATATTCCCTCAGCAGGACTCCTTTCTGCCTGTACTGTCGGTACCTACTTTGCATTTTCTTGCTTGTCCTCATCAGAAAGGACTCCAGTCTTCACCAGATCATAGTTAATAGAATTTGGTTGAATGGCATCAATCAAATCCAGTACAGGCAAACTTGAGCTTAAATTCTTGTCCTGTGTAAAATAGATTTTGCATTACATTACTTCACAGTTAAAGTCATTGCTCCTTTTCAACTAAATTTTGTTTCTCCTCGCATTATGACGTACCTTGTAACACCTTGTATCTCAAAAGGGAGCTATATAAAAACGCAAGTTTATTTTGCTACAGTCAGTTTGAATACAAACCAGGTTTTCATTTATATACTTTGCACATATCCAACGTGCCAAAATATTTTGTTGCTAATGAACCAACTTTTGATGTGCGTTGTTGAGTGGGCGAACGTGGTCATCTCTGGCATTAACTCAAGTTAAATCAAAACAATCTTAACACTATCTTATATTTGAAAGGTACATTCAGCAGCATACCGTCAGAAAATCTTGTTCTTCATGGAGTTGAGAGACGGGATAGTCAAGAAAGCAACAAGGGAAGTGAAAGGAAATTATAGAGCAAGAAACACAGACACAGCATGTAGTAATTACTGTTTATTATTAAATACTAGCAGCGAACCACAAAATATTTGTAGTAAGGTACTAATTTGACTACAGCTTCAAGTACAGAATTTCTACTTATTCATGCACCAAAGAGGATGACAGAAAGCAAAACCTTTTACTTTGAAAAAAGAAAGCTATGTAATGGTATCCAATAATGAACTTTAGTCAATGAATAGAAACACACGTTGTCAAGAGTCCAGCCTCGTCACTTGTCCATGGTCCTAGAATATTGAGGCCTGATTGGGAATAATTGTCTCCTGTGCTGAAAAAGGTAGATGTACATCTGAGCAGTTTAATATTGTTTGAGGAATAAACACCTTTGCCTTGAAATATGCCTGTTACAAATTTTACCATCTGTCAAAGCAAACTACCATGACAAAGTCCTTGTTCAGGATTCAAGTTTCATAGCAACAGTATAACTGCTCATTTTCTGAATCTAGGTTTGTGTGGTAGCATACCTTTAGACTCCATGCAAGTTCATCATCTTCCCCATCTATAAAACCAATTCTCCTTAAGCACTTAACAGCTTTCTTGAAACATTTTCATTCAAAATCTAGTAAATCATTGTTATCTTCAGCACCACAATTGGATTCGAATTATAAAGTTGCATCAAATGCATGTCCCCACACCAGATGTGACAAATGTCATCATCTTATCCATATCTCCTATTCCATTCCCTCCTTCGTTTGCTAGTCCCATCCAAATCCATACCTTTCCTATGCCATCTCCATTCCATTCCTTCCCGTCCTCCCACATCATCCGTATCTCTTAATTCAGTCTTTTTCCATTGCACGCAGAAACACACAGTCTTTCATGCCAGAGTAGTGGTGTTGTTGAGCTGCCCCACTGCTGTTTTTATTCCCATCAACCCCTACCAGTCACGCCACCATGAGTGCTCACTCCAACCCTACATGGCCCAAATGCCTCAAAACTGCAGGGCACCCTCGAGCAACATGCTCTGGCCCTTAAACTGACCAAAGGCAACTGGGCAAACAGAAACCTGCCTATTATTGTTGTCGTTAAAAGATACCTTGCTCCAAGTACATACTGTGTTTGAATGTTTGTCCAGAGACACCTACAGATTGTGGTAACCTGATGCTCACCCAAGTCTTCCTAGTAAGCCCAACACAGTGCTCTTCGGGGTCAATTGTCCACCAAAAGGACAGAAGAAGTTTACTAATAATTTATCTGGACAAAATATTCCTGCTCTCTCCAGCTACTTGCTGAGAAACTCTTGGCTGCAAACAAATCATTTACTCACCCTCTCATCTGGAAGGGGGATGGGGCGGGGGGGGGGTACACATGGAAAAATACTGCAGTCATTTCTTCTTTTGAAAATTAGAACTGCTTACCTTGAAACTCTGAATGGTAGTTTTCTTGCCCGCCTCTTTTAGTGTCTTATTCACCCAGTTGACAATTATATCATCATTGACTTTCTGACCATCACCCAGTTCTTCAAGAACATTCAACGTATACCTATTAATACACAATCGTAATTTCAGAACAGTCACAGGAATAATCAACACTTGACCTAAAAGCCTAGACTTCCCCACTGTTTTAACACAGTGCAACAGAACCCACCCTCCCTAGTTATGCAATTCACCAGGACTCTGGTGCCAGCATGATTCAGGTGGAACCCGTCCCATCAGAACAGCTCCCCCATTCCTCAGTACTGATACCAAGTGTCCAAAGAATTCAAACCCATTTTTCCCACACCAATCCTTGAACCATACGTTTACCTCAAATCATGTTCACCCTGTGTCAATTAGCTCATGGCTCAGTTAGTAGTCCAGAAGCCACCATCTTTTTGGTTATGCTTTATAAAATTAGCTCCAGGCCACTCATATTCCCTCAGAACCCCCTTCTACCCAGATCGTTCACAACTATTTGTTTTATAGCCCATTTGTTTTAATGGAGTCAACACAGAGGCAATAGCAACTTGAAAATCCAGGCAGTGTATTCAACTGTCACAATGATATTTCTTACTGACATATTAACAAGTCATAGTAAAACGATTAGTGAAAACATCTTTGAGAGACTCAATGGGAGTACCTTCTCATCAATTGCCAGACCAAGGCTAAAGTTAGTGTCGAGTTTCCATCATTCAGATCCTTTCCAGCAATTCCCACAAGAGAAAACTTCGCTGGATTCCTTCCCAAGTCAACTGCATAATTGCAGTTTTCCAGCTGAATGGAAAGAAAACATTTTTTTCTCTTAAAAGCATAAGTACACTACTTTGTTTTGCTGAACATTCCCCTCAAAATTCTGGATAAAACTTGATGTACCTTTTTCATATTCGCACCAAGTTTGGGATATGGTGGCTTGTTCACTTTGTTCCAGTCAACTGGGACCTTGATTTTTTCATACAGCTGTAATATCACCAGGGCATCTACTAAGTCACTGTATTAAGAACAAAATACCACATGATACTTTAAAATCCAGTCCAAGTCTAAAAGGCAAAGAGACATTTACAAAATTGGTATAAATAATTCCATTTCAACTAAATCTGTTTCCCAATCTCATTCGATTAAACACAACCCAATGTTAAATATTTCAAGTCTCCCATTCACACACCTCCAAAAAGAATTATTTGCATTTACGTAGCACTTAAAGCTTGCAAGCATATTGGATATGAAAGTCTCCTTTTTGTAGTCTCTCTCTTGACTGAGTTCCCCATAGTGTACTGCAATATTTACTGTAAAGGCACTTATACACAAGAGATAGTAGGAACTGCAGATGCTGGAGAATCTGAGATAACAAAAAGGTGTAGAGCTGGATGAACAGCAGGCCAAGCAGCATCAGAGGAGCAGGAAAGCTGACGTTTCGGGCCTAGACCCTTCTTCAGAAATGGGGGAGGGGAAGGGGGTTCTGAAATAAATAGGGAGAGAGGGGGAGGCGAATAGAAGATGGATAGAGGAGAAGATAGGTGGAGAGGAGACAGACAGGTCAAAGAGGCGGGTTGGAGCCAATACAGGTGAGAGAATGTAGGTGGGGAGTTAGGGAGGGGATAGGTCAGTCCAGGGAGGACGGACAGGTCAAGGGGGCGGGATGAGGCCAGTAGGTAGGAGATGGGGGTAGGGGTGGGGGTTGAGGTGGGGAGGAGGGGATAGGTGGGAGGAAGGACAGGTTAGGGAGGCGGGGACAAGCTGGGCTGGTTTTGGGATGCGGTAGGGGAAGGGGAGATTTTTGAAGCTTGTGAAGAAGTCCACATTGATACCATTGGGCTGCAGGGTTCCCAAGCAGAATGTGAGGTGCTGTTCCTGCAACCGTCGGGTGGCATCGTTGTGGCACTGCAGGAGGCCCAGGATGGACATGTCGTCTGAGGAATGGGAGGGGGAGTTGAAATGGTTCGCGACTGGGAGGTGCAGTTGTTTAGTGCGAACCGAGCGTAGGTGTTCCGCAAAGCAGTCCCCAAGCCTCCGCTTGGTTTC